ACATCTCGGTGTGTAAAATGCAGCAGCATTAATCTGTCACTCTTGAATGGTACATTAAATGGTAGAAGCAGATGGACAAAGAACAACGCAACGCGTTATTTTACGAACAATTTTTTTATAAGACATATCTAAATATTCAGAACTCGATGTACTGATATTATTAGCCTGAGGAGTAATTACGAATTATCAAGAATTTAGAATTAACGTTTTAGTTAAGAAGAGTGCACAAACTTTCTCAAAAGGAACGCTGAATGAACTTCTTAGGAAAAACACCCATCTTAAACGAATAAAACTCTCTGTAAAATCACTCAAAATTCAACACATTCTAAATTATGACAAATTATGCCAATTCCGTTAAGATTTTATGCCCTATCTCCCCACGTCTGAAAACATTGTAAATGAGGGCCGTGAATGAATCTGCATAAGAAGTCTGACAGTTACGGAGAGCAAGAGCACTGTAAACTAAGCTGAAGAGCAGGATAAGAAAACGTAAGGATATGGTTGATATGAAGAAGTAGCCAGCAGCATTTACTAAAGAAGGAAATTATTGTTCTACACTGGTTTAAGTAAAGTATATTCAAGTCGTAATTACAAATCAAATCTTTAAACAAAAGGCCACATTTATAATATAAAGCACAACTTGTGAAACTATTAAGATCCTAGAAGGATACAAACCTTGTACAGGCTGCTTATTTTCTGACAGTAGGCGACGACGCTTTGACTGTTCTGATTTGCTGCTTGGAGTACCTAAAAAGAAATGGTTTTAGAAAACTTCTGAAGTACGGTATTGCTAAACACGGCAATTCAGTCGGTCAGCACTGAAACGAAAATCGACAAACTGCTTAGTTTGGTTTAGAAGCAAGGCGAAGGCCATTCATTCGCCTCCTCTCCAAGACTGAAGAAAACAGAAGACTACCTACCACAACGACCACCTAGCTGTAAGTACTGCTCATGACAGTATCACTATCAAGGAACTACTAATCGTTTCAACCCTACGGAGGTCAATCAAAGACCTAAATCACTGGAACAGCCTTGTCATTTCTAGGCAAGGCTCTCGTGAAGTCAGAATTGCAGAAACAACTGATCGCAAACAGCCTACTCATGGGTAGTACTGAGAGTTTAGGCCTATTTGTCTGGTCATCATTTCTAACAATCACTAAATGTCACTAAATGCTATAGTCATGTACAAACAGAAACAAGAGAATGGTGTGCTTACGCTGTATAAGCTGAAAAGACACGCATATCCTACTTTAGACAGAAGCATCGAAAACTCACCTGCATCAATAACATCAGAATATTAGGAACATTTTTCGTTTTAAATACATCAATGCGCTGAATAAGACGAACGCTGCTTGAAGCTCGCTCCAGATCCCAGTTCAGAAAGGAGTGAAGTAAGGGGATAGAATCATCCCAATACTTTTCACGGCCTGCCTGAAATGGTATTCAGGTGGAAAGACTGAAAAGAACGGACAGACATCAAAGTATAGCAGCTAAGTCATTACGTATTCGTCAATGACGTAGTGCTGAATGCGGATGGTAATATCCAACTGCAAGAAATGTTAAGGAAACTCGACAAAGCATCACACTGCTAAGTTGAAGTAAAGCCCCTTATTCACTGACGCATTTTGACGCCGTATAGCAGCATCTCTCAATTACAGCGATACTGCAATAATCACAGTAACCCTAATAACAGTGGAAAGTGGCGTCGAAGCATGTTGGTGAATAAAAGATTTTGTTTGGTCCTAGAAAATCTGTTGCCTTGAATTATGGATAAGAAACATACAAATTATATTATATAACACATACATAATACATATGCTACATACAATGAATTACGATTATAATATACAAGGCGGGGCATGTGCTGTGAATGCATTGAGAAAGAAAGGCAAAGCAATTACTTGCCCAACTGATGGGCGAATGACCTCGCGGTCGGACAAGAATAACTTAGGGCAAGTGTATAGAACTTCGCTCGAGACAAGGGCTATCTTTTGCTAAATCTCAAATGCTCGCACATGATTGGGTACATCTGAGACAGTCTGACGCGTCTGCCTCCACGACGTATGAGGATAGGCGGTAATTAGCGGAGGCAACCATCCATCCATCTGATGGATAGCCATCCGTTAGCTAATGATCCCACTAACGTCAGCAGGTCATTGGTCGTGGGGTTGCATGAAGAGGATATACACATGCGGATGACAGAATTTTAAATTGTGTTCGAATGGATGTTGTTCAGCTCAGCGATGCGAATTTGCACGCATGTAGGATATAATACTATGGAATCATGAGTTGCTAAAGGGTGTTTTGTCTCAAGAAATAAGGCGATGGTGGAATTAAATTTTGTTTTAGATTAAATTTACGTTTACAATTTGCGCTGATTTTAAGTGAGCTATCAGGTTGTCAAGAATTGCAATCAGAAGGCGCATACATCATCTGACATGATCACACCAGAGCAGCGAGCTCTCCTAAAATTCTGAGTTCATGCCACTTCCTATTACTATGTCTTACTGCTCGTTACTCGTGTACTGCTCAAGGGAATTAACAATAAATATGGGAAATTTTACCCTCGCGTAGGGATTAGCTTTATAATGCGAAAAAAACCGATAACCATACGCCGTATAAAGCCGGAAAAGTGACACGCATCGTGATCAAAAGTTAATTTTTGGCAGTTCATTCAGAAATCAAGGGCATTTCAAACAACATATGTATTTCGTCAAAATTACAGTAGGGTTTAAACTACATAATTGAAATACCGAAAATCTGCGCAACGTTACAGATCAGACTCACTCCGTCTTCAGGGGTCATATAATACACGCAAACCGGCAATGTGCAACCACGCGAACAGACTTTCCAGAAGCTTGAAAAGGCTATGCGAAGTAAACCGGGTTTTTGTGATTATGCTTGCGGATTACTGTTCCCCACTGAAATGGCATACTCATCTTCTTAGTCATATTTTGCAAATAAAAATAAAGTATATTAGTTACTGTAAGCTACAGTAACGAAGTTTTCGGTCCATGCATCGTAGGACGATGCAAGAGTACCATGGGTTGTCTGAATGGTCGCATATGCCTCTAGAAACGAGGTGTAATGCATGTATGAAAAGTAAACCTAGAGTAATTCCACATATGTAAAGATATCATTTACATCTAAACTACTGCACATGATCGGCGGATGTGACGCAAGAAATACGCAATGCTTTCGTCTACCGTCTGAATAGTGGAAGAGAGATGAAAATATTAAGCTCTGTGAAGCGAGGGTCATGGTCAGTTACCATGTTAAAGACTTATTCACTAATATTCCGGTTGACAATACTATTAAAATAATGGCTAAACTTCTACTAAGTGATGACTCACTTAAAGAACGTACTAACCTCTCAGTTAATTCTATCACAAAATTAATAACTGTTCAAGGTAGGATGGAATGATTTCTTCTTCGATGTTATGTTCTTCAGACAAACGAACGGGGAACCCATAGGCAACTCGTTTTCTTCCATTTCTGCTTAAAGTTTTATGAAAAATTTCGAAATTACGGTTCGCAGTACCAACCCTGACTTGTTGCCAAAGATTTTTAAAAAACATGTTAACGATAGGTTTGTCATCTGCCACAGTGGAATAGAAAATAAATTGCTAAACCTTCTCAACAGTCTCTTCCCTCAAATTATAGAACTAGCCATTCAAAACGAAAAGAACTGAAGTTTACTCTTTTTCGATGTTCCAATAATCAGCTCTAGTAGTCGCTACAAGACTAGTTTAACGCAAACCTAACACTGATAAATACCTCAACTTTAACTCAAACAATCATCTAAGTAACAAAAGATCCGTGATAACAGCCTTGATAAACAGTTTT